AACAGGCAGGACTATTATATTTATATAGATACAGACAACAGACAGGACTATTATTTTTATATGGATAAATACAACAGACAGTACTATTACATTTATGTAGATACAGACAACAGGCAGGACTATTATATTTATATAGATACAGACAACAGACAGGACTATTATATTTATATAGATACAGACAACAGACAGGACTATTATATTTATATGGATACATACAACAGACAGTACTATTACATTTATATAGATACATACAACAGACAGCACAATTATATTTATATAGATATATACAACAGACAACACAATTATATTTATATGGATACATACAACAGACAGTACTATTATATTTAAATAGATACATACAACATATAGGACTATTATATTTATATAGATACAGACAACAGACAGGACTATTATATTTATATAGATACAGACAACAGACAGGACTATTATATTTTTATTTGGTTTTGATTGTTGTTAAGCACAAAGCTGCACAGTGGACCATCTGTGCTCTGCCCACCACGAGTATCGAAACTCGATTTTTGTAGTCATAAGATTGCGGATTTACCGCTGAGCCACTGGGGGGGGGGGCGCTATTAAAGAGAAATTGTATGATATATATAATTTCTGAGAATAAATCAGTCGTTGATTTTCTTTAACCTTTCTCCATACAAAGTTATATTTGCCATTATATAAAAACCACCGTGTCATTAATGAAGCATACCATATTATACTTTATATAAGGTTTCAATTAATTAACCTTTTATGAAGTCAACAAAAACAATCATTCAAGGACAGTTCCCATCGTTAACTAGTCCAAATAGAAACGCAATAGAAATAGCAGTGTCAATTTGGATCCACTAGGGGTTGAAATAACAGATGTGGTAACTTTTTTCCTTTGGCTATATATTCTTCTTAGGTTTGCATTGTTAATATTAAAACAGCAACATATAAAAATACACACACATGCATCTTTGTTATAATATTAGAAAGTTTAAAATACCTGCTTCCAAATTTCCCAAAACGTGAAGACCAGATGTTTGTTGAAAGCTTTCAATGAACACTTCATTACTCCTCGTGTCAATCACCTTGGCAACGGTTGCAGTACACCTAATTTTAAGGCCGTCGCCATGGAGCTGCTTTTGTGTGATTATGAATCTTAGACCGAGTTGAGAAAAAATAATCCCGTTTTCTTGATGGACAGCAGGATATTTGACAAGATATGAAGTGTTGGCCTACGATGAAAAGAAACGAAAAGACTAACACTATCCTGGGTTATGATAATCTCTCCTGTTGGTAACACATTTCGTCCTGTTACTCGCGAAGAAATATCTTGGTCTGCAAACTGTGGGGCGCCACTCCCCACCCCAAAGGGCTATTGGAGAATATAAATTATATCCGACAGTAAAAACTGAAAAATAAAGAAGTTTGTAAAAACTATTTTACATAGAGTGGAACTCATCCCGAGCTCATCCTTCACACCAAATTGGTAAACTGTTTCTGTTATGCTATGTACCATTTAAAGACTTGTTTAATCTTCATATGAGGTGCAGTGGGGGAGGGGGGAGGGAGGAGCACAACAAAACGCATATTTAGAAAGGGGAGGCTTTGTTTTTAGTTAAGCACAAAGATACACAAAGGGCTATCTGTGCTCTGCCCACCACGGGTATCGAAACCCGGATTCTAGCGTTGTAAGTCCACAGACATACCGCTGGGCCACTGGGGGGCAAAGGGGAGGCATAAATATTTTGGGTAACACTGTCTTAAGTTATGATATAAGATTTTTTCATATTATTTTATGCAATGAGTGTTTGGTAAGATGAATCAGTCTGATTGTTCCAGATCAGTTATCTTTTGGACATTATGCATACATTTTTCTATTCTATTCCAGTTCCTAATGATGAGAATAAAACCCGGATTTTCACAAGAAAGTGATATAAGTATTAATCTCGCCCACCATCGTAATGTAGTCACGTATTTCGGTGTAAAAAACAAAACAAAAAAAGTTAACGCCATTTTCTGTCTGAGTTTGTTTTAGTTGTAGTTTGTTACGTGCCTTACTACACGTCATTATATTTGGTACCTATCTATTCAGTATCACGACTGGGAGGGAAATCTTATATCTGAGATATTTTGTATCAGTGTATTTGTAGTTTGTTACGTATTTCATTGCAGTAGTTCTAAGCCTTTTTTACTGCACGGACCATTAGGCCTATATAGGTCTATTGTGTTGTTCCATATTTAGCTTTTTTAAGAAGTTTTGTTTTATAATGAATTAAGAAGGAAAAATACTTTTCACTTATTCCTTACTCGTGTACAAATTACAAATTTCACAAAATATAATATTTCACAGGACTTTAATTTTCGTTTCATTTTCTCTCTCTCCTTTTCATTGGATATTTATTCTGATCGCCAAGGTTAGTTTTTGTAGTATCCGATTTATCACTAAACAAAAACTCTTTGTAAGACCTGAAAGAAATAGTGTTTAGTTTGCTTTGAATTTCGCGCAAAGCTACACGAGGGTTATCTGTGCTAGCCTTCCCTAACTTAGCAGTGAAAGACTAGAGGAAAGGCAGCTAGTCATTTCCACCCACCGCCAACTCTTGGGCTACTTTTTTACCAACGAATGGTGGGATTAACTGTTACATTATAACGCCCCCATGAGAGGGATTCGAACTCGCGATTCTCAGGTTGCGAGTTGAGGCCCTAACCACCTGTCCATGCCAGGCCAAAAACAGAGTTTACTTTTGAAAAAAAAACTCAGCTGATTATTATTTATTTTTTGGAAATACGTAAAATAAAATTCAGTTATAAAAATCAATCCATATCAACCTGTTTTCCATTGATTGACCACGAGAGTTCAAGAGACCTTGTGAACCGCGAAGAGGAACAGTTCAAGTCCACGATATCTCCTACAACGTACTTTCCTTTATCTCCTGTTACTCGTGGAGCAGTGTCTTGAATTACGACGTTTGAAGCTGAAAGTAAGGGATAACAAACAAACTATAAAATAAAACAAGAAAATATTAAGAATATTTTATTATTTGAAGCTGAAGAAAAACAAATTGTTGTTCTATTTATAAAACAAATTACAAGAATATGTTACGAAATAATATATGATTTCAAAATGAGGAAAGAGAAAGCCCAAATAGTGTTTCTAATCATCAGGGAGAGTGGTAGCGATCCTTATGTTGGGATGAGTCCGATTAAAAATGGCGGCCGCTGCATTACGTACGGTAGCGCGTACGCCAGGACGTCGGCAAAACCCAGCCAAAGGAATAGAGACGAAAAACCCTTCACTAATCAAGTACAAACCTGCCTCTAAGTTTCGGCTAACCTTCCTTGACGTCTAGAAAACTGGCCGCAAAAACATCAATTTTCTTCTCCGTCAGCTGTAACTCTCAAACCACAGTGTGCTTACGACCAGCCTACACACCAAAACATTTTACTACTCCATAGGATGTGACTTTTTACTCCTAGAGCAGCAAGTGATACACCATAGGCTAGTTACAGCCCAAAGTATTAATCACGATCTCTTATCAGTAAGCTATTAAGTGATTGATAAGGAAATACATAATCTACCGTATACTCCTTACCGCGCCGCGCAGTACCCTGGTCATGACTTATCTTGCTTCAATAAGTAACGTCTATAGATTATATCATGGCTCCCTATAGAATAGAACTGAATGAATTAGTGAAATGATGCTTTCCACCTAGAAGTTACAGCCCACCGGAAGCCAAGACTTCGACTCGTAAAAAGTGCAGAAACTATAAACAAAAAATTTTATTCTAAAACTGTTGGGATGGAAAAAGATCAGAAGCTAGAGGGAATTTAAAATGGGAGACAAATCTGAATTACCCATTTCTGCATTCCACCCCCTAACGTAGATATGCCTCCACCCTGTGAGTGCAGTGTATGAGTGGTGGAATGCAGGAATGGGTAATGCAGATTTTTCTCCCATCCCAGATGCCCTCTGTTTTTCGATTTTTTTCCATTCCTACATCCCAACAGTTTGAAAATACAATTTGTTGTTACTAGTTACTAGAAGAATATTGAAGATATTAATGGAGAGAGGGGAACTTTTTCTAATGCCGATACCAAACTCTTGAAGTGTGGTATTGTTGTAGAAGTAATATTACTAAAAAGGTATTGTTTACATTAGGTGTTAAAAATAAAAATAATTATGATAAATAGTTCAACAAACAAACAATACTTATGCTATCATTAGTTACAGCACAAAGAAAGTAGCGTCAGTTTTGTTAGAGAAAGAGTTTGGTTTGTTTTTGAATTTCGCGCAAAGCTACACGAGGGCTATCTGCGCTAGCCGTCCCTAATTTAGCAGTGTAAGACTAGAGGAAGGCAGCTAGTCATCACCACCTACCGCCAACTCTTGGGC